GATTTATGCAATTTACACACTTTGAAAGATGCTTTATTTTTGGTCAAAAAATTACAAGGCGATTAACTTGTCATATAATTCACCAAGTGAATCGTTCTGAACATAGTCCTATCTTGACAACATGTACAGGAACTGAGAACAGTCCTGATAAGGCACCACAGAATTTATGCAATTTACACACTTTGAAAGATGCTTTATTTTTGTTGAGAAAACTACAAGGCGATTAACTTGTCATATAATTCGCCAAATGAATCGTTCTGAACATACTAATATTTCAGATAGTTTAGGAGGTAATGGATATGTAATGCATCCACGCGTGGTGGATCCGCTTCGGGCGAACCTAGAAGGTAATCTGTAGAAAGACTATGTCCCAGGTTTATAAAGAATCCACACAGATCCAGCCCATTATACAAACCCATGAAATATTCTTTTGTGCCCTTAAACTGTTTTCAAAGAGCCTCGTGAAAGCGAATCTTCCAAACCAGTACTCTTTATGAATATTGCCTTAAGAACATACTTATCTGTATTATATATCTGTATTATGTATACCGCCGGAGAATTCGCAGCTGCATTTAGGTTGGTGATAAACATAAGCAAATTAATACTATGTCTCAGACCAGCAACGACAACTGTTCCATCTTAGATACAGTTGATCATTGTGTCTTGTGTTGAGATTCTTTGGGCAATGATCCAATTCCACCTTGTCTAGTAAACAACAAATCTCTATCCTCCTTGTAAGCAAAAGTGTCTTTTCTCTCTATATGTTCTCATCTTTATTTCTCTAATATAAGCTGCAGGTGACCTGGAACTTTACCTTCAGCTAGTCAAATAGGTCTAAGTTATAAGATCAATAATTCTCATTTTTTCTACATAAGTAACTAGATTTTAAGTACTGTTCTAACTTAAGTGTTTATACGCATTTTCAATTTTGACTGAATTTGTGTAACAAACCCACATCTCTCAGCTTATATTTGGAAATATAAGCTAATTTACCAATTTAAGCGTAGTAGAAAATTGCAATGTATAATGTAAATATTATGCTGAAAAAAATTTCAAGCATTAACAAGATGCATTCGAGCTACTTAAACTCTGGAGGATTAAATTGAAACGCTGTTTATACCCCCCCCCCGCGTTTTTTATGGTTGTTAGCACACACACAGGCTGACAGTTTTCCATAATAACTGACCTGAATTTCGAGGACATTTGTCACTGTAGGCCTTTGTAATGTTGTTAAAGTATAGTCATTTGTGATTATAGCATGCTGTATGAGCATGGAGACTTAAAGTTCAACAAATCGAAAGTCCTTTCGAAAGAATAAATGTAGGGGAATGTTTTGTACGGGTCTTTTAGATTCCAATCTTTGCAGAGGAGCAAACACTCTATCAAAATCTCTAAAAGTTAGAAATTCTTCATGTGTTTTATTTAAATTAAATAGCCTAAAGAAATCTTTTTCCCCCTCCGAGGCTTTAATTTTCATAATTATTTTCTGTGCTAGATATAAATAAAATGTTAAAAGGGGAACTAAGTTTATTATGCATAAAGATATATTTTTTATTGTATTTTATCAAATTGTTATCAATGTATATGATTTCCCTAAATCTTACGGGTTAGCTCCGAAATTCCAAAGTTCTTTAAAATGTCATAAATAAAGGGTATTTTCCTGATTCTAATTAAAAAACGCCTCTCTCACTTTGTACTTTCTTCCAATACACATCCAACACGAAATTGCATGCATTAAAAGATGACAGAAATTTTCATATACTTATAACGAATAAGATCCCCTCCTATACGAATTTTTGGGTCCATAACGCTAAGAGTATGCACACAAGCGTTTGTAAGAATGTAGGCCATAATATGCACACAAGCGGTTTTCGAATGCAAGCTATTCCAATAGCATGGTGATCCTCATTCAAAATGAGAAGTCAAGCGGATTTTTTTTAGTCTGGCAGAATCATTAAGGTGGAGGTTATGGAGAGTTTCCTCCCTTTTGGAGGGCACTAAAATTAGAATTTATTTAATAAATGTCGCTCACTGAACGGCCTTTTCGTCTGAGGTAAGTAATGAATTTCAAAACAATTTTGAAAATCAGTAATAAAATTAAGCTTAGATTTGGGGAAATGTGGTTGTATAAGCAATTCAGATATGAATTTCTCTCGCAAAACTCTGTGCAGGATCCGGTAACTAAACACTTTGCTTCTGCTGTCTCTTGGTGCCATTTCATAGTTGTAAACCGCTGCCGTACTATTAGGTCTTTGAAATTATGTACGTAATAAGTGACCCTGAGGACTAGACAAAGCTCTGCGGCGTAGAAAGTAAGCCAAGTCCCGATGAGGCAGAAGAGCACTATGGTCTCCTCTGCCAAAATTTATATTTTTTCTCCAAAGTAAGAGCACTGACCGGTCACCAAGTTATTACGCAAACCCCGCATCATTTGTAATGCGATTCTAGAGGACTCAGGCGGCCGAGCGGTAAAGTCGCTGAACACTGGTAGTTCGGTCCGAGGTTCGAATCCCGCGAACGGGCTGGCTGCATGGGCGTTTTCGTGGTTTTCCCCATGTGTAACGTGTATACGAGCCAGTTTCCCTTAGAAAGTCCTCCACGAAAGGCATCCCTCCCCTTAGGCAGATAGCCCTCGTGTGCTTTGCCATAATTAAATACACACACTAGAGGACTCAGAGGTCGTCGTGATTGAGCTCGTACTGCGTTAATGTAGTTGCGAGCCTTGTGCGTTAATATAGTTGGTCGCTTCGTTGGTTCCTTGTTGCTTCAGTTTTTAAGGGTGAATATTTGGATCGGTTGCTGCATTTTAAATCAAGATGAATACCACTTTGGCACATACACTGTTGTATACTGGCACATATATGTATGATTGTTCTATGTCTCTGGAGGAACATGTTCGTGTGCCTAGTAGTTTGCTGCTGGTCTCTCATAACGCATCTCTTATTAAGGTTGTCAGTTGCTGCGCAACTATAGCCTCAATATCCTTTAAACTGGCAAGAAAACTTAGGGATCAAACTAAGGACTGCGGCTTAGAAAGCGAATATCATGCCGCTGAGGCAAAAGTTAACTTCGGCTTTGGTCACTAATGTCTTGATCTTCTTCCTGGTGGAAAATCTCATTGGTCGCTGGACTGTTTCAATTTTATTTGGTGATGTAGTAGATCATTTTAGACGTAACAGGGATTCAGTACACATAACAGCTAGTAATTATCAAGCAGATTATTTTGTTCGGTGAAGTTTATTAAGAACTTAAAGCTTCAGTTTGTAAGGAATGCATTTTAGGTATTTTCGTAAACATTTTTAAACTATAGGTTATATAATTTATGAGGAAAATGTTTCTTATCTTTATTGATTACACTATGTTTTGTACAAAGGCACCGTGTATATTTTCAATTTATTCTTTCACTATTCGTGAATCCCTAAAACACTTACTTTTGTACAAACAGCTCGTCTTTTCAATTTTTGTACTAATTATAAATAGATTTATTTAATTAATAGAAGTTATTTTCTGAAGTTTCGAAATTTCTTTAAAACCACAGTTATTGTTTCCATTTTCCTGAATTCTAAAACTCAAGAACCTTCTCGACAGCAGAATTGTCCATTTTGCCTCTTGAGTCATATGGCACTCTGTAACATCCGGCATCACGTCATGGCATGCTGGAGAAAATTACTTATCAGTACGGACATACCATTTAACCTTTAATCGCAATTTCTTTCATAATTTGTATTCATTTTTAAATTTTTAATCTTTTTTAATTTAACTCTCTATTTCTAATTTAACAAAAATTTTAAAATGTGTGATTGAGAAAAGAAACAAACAAAACACGGGGAAAAAAGAATTAAAACTGCTTTGCGATTACACAAATTTTGAAACCAAATTTCAAATTTATAATTAAATGTGCTAAAGATTATAGGCTTAATTCATTGAAAATTTTAATACCATCTAAGTGGCAAGGCCGCATATATACGACCTAGAATATTTTTTGTGATATGTGTAAGAACGTATATGTACGTGAATATTAAAATATATCAAAGAAATTAAGGCAATATATGAAAACGTACGCAAATCCAGGTATGAAATACCAGGAGAGTTTTTACATTAAAATCATAAAAAAAAATAATTTGTTCTCATAGTAGTTTTGGGAAATTTGTACTTTGTTAGCAAAACCCTGGTCGTTCAGAGGGTTAACGTATCCTTTAGGAAACAAACAGAAACTATAGTTTTGCAGACATTGAATTTATTTCTGATAGACCGCTGTGTTTGATATAGTGCATTAATTCTCAAAGGTATGCACACTTTTTCACTACTGTTATATAATCATTTTTCCCCTCCCCATTTATAATAAAATTCGAAAAATGCGTACATATTTATTTAAATTTAGATTATTTTTAATATGTTATATAAATTAAACAAGGAAATTTTGATATGTATCAAAACTTGGATAAGAATATATTTTATATACATAAAATAAAGCGAAATACTTAATAAAATGCTTGTCACATCCCCCTCTGAATCCATGGAATTCCCTCCTGGTTGAGAAGCCTGGTATAGTGGTTACTTTGTTGAGTACCATATCGTTAGATCCATGTTCGAATCCCATAGAACGCTTGAATATTTGTAAGTATATAGACTTTGTGCGCATGACGTCACTGAAATATTGGAGGTAAAGGAAGACGGGGATGTTATCCATAAAAACTGGGATGGAACTTTCTTGTTTTCCCGGGTGTAATACCTGTGCCTCCCGTAATCCATCTTGGGCAACATTCTCGGTAAGAAGATGGCTAATGACCGATGGGTATTAGTGATTTTCAACGAATTTAAATTGCAAGTATTTGGCCATTTAGAACAATATCTTTTGTTAGCTTCTGGAAGTTTTGACGTAATTATTTTTGAATTTGCAAGAGAAGAAAAATTAAACAAAATAAGATTTTTATTTGAACATTTCTTCTAGGAAGGTTAAAAATGCAATTTATAATTTTGTGTTCCTTTTTTCCCAACAGGAAAGTATGGAATTTTGCAAAATGGTGATTTATATATAAGGGATACGATAGAACATGATAGCTCATACAGTTTCCGTTGTCACACCGAAAATACTGTAACTAGAGAAAAGAAAGTCAGCATGAATTATTCAAAAATCATTGTTACAGGTAAGTTTTTTATACCAATATTTAATATACTTTATTTCATCATGTTATATAATATTTTAATATATTTTTTCCACAAATTTAATTTTTTATTATTGTCATATAAATTATTTCCGTCCTAAAATATTAACTATATCATGACTATTGAAAATATTACAACAAAATGAGTAAAAAATCCGTTACATTTGGCTATTTTTCCCGCTGTTTTCTAATGTTCGTAGAAAGATAAATTTTAATAAAAAATATATTTTCATTTTTCTTTCTTCTTCATTACATTTTTATACTTATTATATCATTGGTTGGTTTTATATTAGTGCTCCCAGTAAGCTTTTGTGTAACTATGATTACTAATTTCTCTATTTTGATACCTTTCAAAGATTTTCAGCAATGTTAAAGACATAATACAAGGTAATAATTGGGGTAACTGCATAATTTTGTGCACTTTTTAAAACTATTTTTGAATATTTCACGGAAGAATCGACTCGGAAGTCATGTAAGGTATGAAAACGTCATAAAACAAGAAATAGTAAAATAAAACTAAGTGATTTGGCACCAAGATATTTAATATATGGGTATATAATATACTAAACCATCTTCAGATAACTAACAAGTAGTCATAAAAATTATCTGTTGGATATACTACAAATTGTATTAGTTTTACATACTTTAAATTATATCGTTACAGCAACTTATCCAAAAAAATGTTAAATTATTAAGAAGCTTATATTTTATCGCTTTCAAATCATTCAGCTGATTAAGCTCAGTACTGCTTAATTTGGGTAACACTGAATGGCTGCAGAACTGGGTTTCCTAGGCCACGTAAAAGGTAGATTAATGTAGCATGCATTTGAAACACCAAACATTTGCCAAGTAGTATGGTTAAAATAACTTGTGCGATAATAATAATTTGCGCAGTTGTTAGTTTGGAATTCTGCATTCGACTGATGGAACTTAAAGATATTGCTATTCCTTTTTTTAAAAAACTAGTTTTGAATTACTTTGCAGCTATTTCGAAACAATCACGATGCTGATGCTTAAAACCAAATAATGTTCTATCGAATTTTTAACGGCATCATTCTGAACTGAAAGAAAATTACTGTAACTTACAATCAGCACATTGTCCTTTCATCAATATTCTATACAAAAGAAAGAGATTAAAAGCTAAGTTGGCATCAAAAAGTGATCTCTTATATTGTTCCCTTATATAGCACAGATAACCTAGAGTTTCTCTCTCTTATTTTTCTTACTCTATACCTTATTTGATTTTTCGCAGCCAGCATTATTTATGGAGTACAAATAACCAATTTCTCCAGTCTTAAAAGGCTCGAAATAGAGCTTGCAATGTGACAGTCATCGTCAATTTAGCTGGGAAGAAGCACAAAAGCAATATTATCCATTATATCGAAGGAATAAACTTTGAATAAGCCTATACTTGTCAATGATGTCTTTCAAACTAAAGACTTTAAAACAATAGAATGGATAGAAATATTTCCAGCCCTGAACTTCATTAAGAATACATGCAAATGTCTTTTGCAATTAAGTTACTACAACTGCGCCAGTATCCTCACCTATTTACGCGTAATGCAATATACTTCTGAGAGAAACAGATTCCTTAGTTAGAATTATTATAAATGACCCGATGCACCCTGACTAATACTTTTATATTTCCTTGCATATTTTTCTTTCAGCATCATTGAAGTATAAAAATTTTCGTATATGTATAAAACGTTTTCTATTCTTCTCCATTTTAATTCTCTTTACAGTAAGTTCAACGTTTAGCATCTGTTGGTACAAAATATGTGCATTTTCATAAATTCTTTCAAACCTACTTCATTCAGTAGTATACACGCTTTCCCAGAGGTTATCTTTTCTTTAGCGCGCTTTTTCGCTCACGTTTGCCTATCAAATGTTTAATTTGAACATAATATTATTGCATCTTAAGGATTCGTAATACATTGAATGCACGCAGAGGTGATGTTAATTTGATAAAACTTACTTTACAAAAAGGAATAATTTAACGTTCTGCAACTTTTCACAAAAATACTCTTACATCGCTTCTCAGTATATCACAGCACAAGTAATTACATTCCAGACTACTAAGAACGTTAAACAGAATGCAAAGCAAAGCGCATTTAAACAGGCGAAGCTCATACGAAGATCTGTCCATACTCCGAACTCACGCTGAAGGAAACACCTGAGACCACATGCTGTCTCCGGTCTTATATAGTTTTCACAGGGCTACCGAAAAATCTCTAGTATCTTCCATTTCTCGAACTTACTGGAAGAGAGATACGTTTAAAGTTGCAGCTAGGGGCCAGATAAGCTTACAGTTACATATAGGGATCAATTTGAATGCCCACTACAGGGACCAGACTGCAATGTCTCCAAATAGTCGGGACGTTTGGCGACTTTAAGAGATTTCTCGCAAAATCTGGCAACAAAAATTAGTTGCCAAAGCTATTGCCAGCTTGGCGTTATCTCGCCAATTTAACTAGATAGCCATTTACCTCGATGTTAAATAGACTTGCTCCTGCAAACTTATTTTTCTGGTAGAGCTTCGCTTTTTCGAATGTTACATATAATTTCATAAAATTAATTACATATATACAAAATTCGATGCAATGTATACAATTCACTTTTTAGATTTCATGTCTTAATATTTAAACCAAGTTAGGAGTATGCAATACGATACACTGTGTGTAAATATGGGATCCTAGTCGCTGATTAACAAATCTATATGTGATATTACTGTTCTTCTAGTAAAAAAAAAATCTAACCGAAACACCTAATTAAAACACTTAACAAAAGATGAACCCAATTACATGGGAAAATTTCATATATTTCAAAATGTGTTACATTCTAAACTCTTTCACAAATTTTCAAAATTTATTTCCTATTTATCGACAGTTTTCGAAATTTACCAGACGAAACAGAATTACTTTGTTATTCGAGTTTTTCTTTCTTTCAGGTAGTAAATTTAAGTTTACTGTTAATATTTGTCAAACATTTTACTTTTCAGAATACGAAAAGCTATCTCGGCAGAGTTCTCTGCAAAAGTGATTAGCTTATGTTGATTTGGTACGAAAAAAATTACCAACAATATTATCTTTTCTGTTTTTCAATGAAGGTCATCAACTCACAATTATAACAACAACGCAACAACAAGCAGTTCTACTGCGTTAACACAGAGTGCCCATGGAACCTTGTTTTTTATTAACATTATTTTTCATTTATATTAAGCGTGCTTTTACAATATAGTGTTCCATTAAATTGTTCCACACATTTATAAACTTATTTTAATCGTCTTGGTAAATTTCATAAAGTTTGGTTTTACCTATCGTTACGTTTTATCCAAACTCTAAGTACAGTGAATCATCGCTAAGTGTAAAATAAGCCGAGCATTGAGATGAGAGTAAAGAACCGTTTATTATCGCTAAACCGGAACCGATATGCGCACGTTGTGGTTACACATTTAGCCAACACTTATGACGAGATAACTTAAAGTAACAGACGAACTTAAATTTAAGTAAGTCAGAGACTACACAATTCAATATCCTATTTAACACGAAGTTGGCTCACGAACATAACCGACGTGGAGATTCAAATATCGGCAGCAAAAAATGCAAAGCCCAAACTTTCAAGCTATTAGAACTGGGCAGAAAAGTAACGTGCGCGCACACAGGTAGAAACACGCTCTGTTTTAAAATCCCGAAAGCGTCCTTTAACTACTATTTCTTTCTAGCTCATTTATATTCCGGTAAGGAAACGCAAACGAGAAGTAGCAGTAAAGATCCAAAACATAAAATAACTGGTTAATGACAAAAAATAATAATGACCCTACGTTTTCAAGTAGGCTATTAGGCTCCTGAGCGCTGGTGGCTAAAATTGTTACGCATTCGGTAGGCTAGATCTATCAGATACATTTTTCAAGAATCTAAAACATTTCCTTAACTGATGCTTTCTGTGTTAATGAACGATATTCTGGATAACAATAATCGATGCTTTTTATGCCATTAAAGGAGTTGATGATTATTAGAAATTAAGATCTTTATGTGTAACATAAAAGAAGTTGAAATTTAAAGGAATAAAACTCAATGTTGTACACCATTTAAAACGATGAATAGCTAAAACAGATTCGTATTTTGATTTAATGATTAAGTAGAGCGTAAAATATTAAAAGATTTTTTTCAACATATTTTATAAGAAATGAACTGGACAAAAAAGGTATGTCTTTTCTATTTGTAACCTACTTCATTCAGTAGTACACACGCTTTCCCAGAGGTTATCTTTTCTTTAGCGCGCTTTTTCGCTCACGTTTGCCTATCAAATGTTTAATATTTGAACATAATATATTATTGCATCTTAAGGATTCGTAATACATTGAATGCACGCAGAGGTTCTTTGCATTGTATACTGATATAAAAGTAAAAACTGAGGAAGGGGAAAAAAGAGATCATTCTGAAAACTTTAAAGCTTCGTAAATAGAACTTAGGATAAAAGTTATCATATAATAGAAAATATCCAACTAGGCTAACTGAATTCCGTACAGATAACAATTTTATTTTCATCTATATATTTTCTTAGTAAAAGTTTTAGATCTTATTTACTTGCAAGAACGATCTTGAGATTCCATTAATAATATTACCATTTCTTGATATAATTTAGACACTACGCTTGATATAATTTAGAAAAGCACTAAAAGCTGCTAGATTTGCCACAGGAAAATAGCATCTTGTAAATAGAAAAGAATAGTTAAAAAGAAAAAAATATTACACGGGACTGACATCGTCATCTCGATTGCTAAACAATCCTTTTGGCAAAATAAGTCACTTGGAAGTCACAAACTGACACAATTTACTGCGATAGGACAAAAATAGATCCACGTAAAAAACGAAGAGCTCAAAGAACATGTCACAAGCAATTTGTACAAATATTGCAGGAGTAAGACACTTTGTCGGACTCAAAAACAAATGCAGCCGAGCAGTAGAAATATAACCATTGGA